TCCATAGGTAATTTATCCATTTAGTTCATCTTTGAAACTCCACTACCAAGTCACGACACTAATAAATAAGAGAACAGACAAATAAAAGTTATTTTTATTAATATTATTAGCTTTCGCCCGCGACTCCGTCCGCGTGGAATTAAAAAAACAAATGTATAACCTACGTGTCCAGCAGTTTAGGCTACAAACTCTAACAAACATCCGTCCATCGAAACTTTCTCATTTATTATATAAGTATTATAAATGCGAAAGTATAGATGAATGTTTGTTAGAGAAACTATTGAATAGATTTTGATGAAATTTGCCTCATATGTAGAGGATAGTCTGGAAGTACTCATAGTCTTTTGATTTTATTAAGCGAAAGCTAAAATAAATTGTATATAGTGATTTAACTAATTTGATTGTATTATTCTATTCCAGAGCAAAAGTATCAGAATCCAAAACACCTTTAGGCCTGACAAGTACAATTAACATCCAATATTCAGAGACCGGAGACGCGGGACTGTACCAGTGCAGAGCAAACAATCCATACGGAGCTGCAACATTTAATGTATTTTTGAATATATTAGGTGAGTTTTTAACACCGAAAGGTCAAGTAACAGCTGTCTATAAACAACTGTTAAATTAATGAATTCATTTATTTTATTTAATGGGTTGGATGTTGGAGAGAAATTTGTCTTTTTATCCATAACTTCTTCTGTCAAGTCTTCCGTTTTCCATCTTCTCCGATGTCTTATCCTACTCCCGTGGCGCACCGGGTGTTCGTCCTCCAAATAACTCTATTATACCTCATCTCATCACTTCCTTCTTCTTGTCACTTTTCACGCAATCCATCTCTTTCGAAGTCTTCTACCGGTGTACACTCATAACTAACGTTCTTGTTACATGCGATTCATCCCTCATAACATGCTAACCTTTTATATCTTATTTTCACTACCACTGGGGCTACTTATAAACTCCTCTAATATACTCATTTCGTATAGAAGGAAGAGAAAACAGATTGAAATTAGATGTTTGACAGAAAGGCTCATAAGACTAAACCTGGAGTTTCTTCATATGAAAGCCTTGTATGTTCGTTTTACAAGATTGATGGAAAGATCTTATTTTAATTATCTGTATTTCCCAGAGCCTCCAACTCCTCCGTCAGATTTGAGGATAGATTCAGTCGAGGCGCGCTCCGCAGTCGCCTCGTGGCGTTCGGTGCGAGCGCACGCGTCGCGCTACGTTCTGCAGTACGCGCCCGCGCACGTCGTTGACATTGGATGGGAACATGCTGTTGTTATTAATATTACTAGGTAGATATATCAAACACTTTGCTTAGTACATTTTATGATATATTCTGTATTGGTCAACATTTTAACTAACTGTTTTCAGTTAATTAATTATTCTTTTATTTTTTTTACATGTTTAATTATTAGTATGTGGAGCGAGGGCCTGGTGATCAATCATACAGGGGCCACCCTAGTTTAGACACCAGTCCTGCCCAAGAGGAAAATAAATAAAGCTGCTTTATTTATTTTTCAACATCATCCTCCTTATTCTACGCCCGTAAGGTC